AATTTTTAATAAAGATAGTGGATCATTTACTTATACAGCAATTTTGAAGGTCAAAAGACAAAAGTGGTAACGTTAACTAATATTACAGTAATTAATAAAGTGATGCCTAAACTAAAAAGATGTAAAGTGTGTCATCAAAAATATGAAATGGAGAGCGGGGAGTAAAAATGGTAAAACTTTGGAAGGTGTTCATATTTAAGTTACTATCAACTTAAAAGAGACTGTATGAACCTCACAGTAACTGCAAAGAGAAAATTTATAGTAAATGCACAAAAGAAAATGAGAGAGGAATCTAAACATAACACCAAAGAAAGTCATCAAACCATAGGGAAGAAAGCAAGAAAAGAAGAAAGGAACAGAGAGGAACTACAAAAACAGCTGGAAAACAATTAACAAGATGGCAATATGTACATACCCATCAATAATTACTTTAAATATAAGTGGACTAAATTCACCAATCAAAAGACAGACAGTGGCTGAATGGATAAAAACCCAAGAACCGTTTATATGCTGCCTACAAGAGACTCACTACAGAAGTGAGGGCACACGCAGACTGGAAGTGAAGGAATGGAAAGAGATATTCCATGCAAATTTAAACAAAAACAAAGCAGGTGTAGATATGCTTGTATCAGACAAAATAGATTTTAAAACAAAGACTGTAATAAGAAATGAAGAAGGGCACTACATAATGATAAAGGGGTCAGGCCAGCAAGAAGATATAATATTTATAAATATATGCACCCAACATAGGAGCACCAATATATATAATGAATATTAATGGACCTAAAGGGAGACACTGAAAGCAATACAATAATAGTAGGGACCTTTAACATACCACATTTTTTTCAAGTGCACATGGAACATTCTCCAACATAGACCACATGATAGGTCACAAAACAAGTCTCAGTAAATTTAAGAAGATTGAAATCATATCAAGGATCTTTTCTGACCACAGCAGTATGACACTAGAAATCAATTTAAAAAAGAAAACTGGAGAAAAAACAATTATGTGAAGACAAAACAAGATGTTATTAAACAACCAATGAGTCAAAGAGGAAATTAAAAAATACCTTGAGACAACTGATAATGGAAACACAGTGTTGCAAAATCTATAGGATGCAGCAAAAGCAGTTCTGAGAGGGAAGTTCATAGCTGTACAGGCCTACCTCAAGAAACAAGGAAGATCCCAAATAAATCTTAATTTTACACCTAAAAGAATCAGAAAAAGAACTTTTCAATAGAAAAGATCAGTGAAACTAAGCTGGGTCCTTGAAAAGACAGGCAAAATTGATAAATCTTTAGCCAGACTTCTCAAGAAAAAAAGAGGGTCCAAATAAATAAAATTAGAAAGGACAGAGGAGAAGTTACAACTGGTAGCACAGAAATACAAAGAATCATAAGAGACTACTATGAACAATTATATGCTAACAAATTGGACAACCCAGAATAAATGGATAAATTCCTATACACATACAGTCTTCAAAAACTGAATCCTGAAGAAATAGAAAATTTGAATTGACTGATTACTAGCAATGATACTCAATCAGTAATCAAAAAACTCCCAACAAACAAAAGTCCAAGACCAAAAGTCTTCACAGGTGAATTCCACCAAACATTTAAAGAAGAGTTAATCCCTATCCTTCTCAAATTATTCCAAACAATTGAAGAGGAGCACAATCTTCAAAACTCAGTTTATGAGGCCAGCATTACCCTGATACTAAAATGAAACAAAGACACTACAAAAAAATAAAATTATAGGTCAGTATCCCTGATGAACCTAGATGCAAAAATCCTAAGCAAAATATTAACAAACCAAATCCGACAATACATTGAAAGGATTATACACCCTGATCAAGTGGGATTCATTCCCGAGATACAAGGATGGTTCAACATCTGCAAATCAATCAGTATGATATATCACATTAATAAAACGAAAGATAAGAATTATCTGATCATCTCAATGGATGCAAAAAAAGCATTTGACAAAATCCAACATTCATTTATAATAAAAACTCTCAACAAAGTGGTTATAGAGGGAATGTACCTCAACATAATAAAGGCCTATATGACAAACCCATAGCTAACATCATACGAAACAGTGAGAAGTTGAAAGCTTTTCCTCTAGGATCAGGAGGAGGATGCCCATTCTTGCCGCTTTTATTCAACAAAGCATTGGAAATCCTAGCCACAGCAGTTAGGTGAGAAAAAGAAATAACAGGAATCCAAATTGGAAAGGAAGAAGTAAAATTGTCTTTATTTGTAGATGACGTGATACTATATTTAAAAAAACTTAAAGAATCTACCAAAAAACTTAGAAATAAAAAATGAATTCAGTAAAGTTGCAGGGTACAAAATTAATATGCATAAATCTGTTGCACTTCTATACATTAGTAATGAACTATCAGAAACAGAAATTAAGAAAACAATCTCATTTAAAATTACATAAAAAAGAATAAAATGCCTAGGAATAAGCCTAACTGAGGAGGTGAAAGACCAGGAGTCTGAAAACTATAAGACATTAACGAAAGAAATTGAAGATGACAAATAAATGAAAAGATCCATGCTCATGGACTTGAAGAATTAATATTGGTAAAATGTTCATGCTACTCAAAGCAGTCTACAGATTCACTGCAATCCCATCAAAATACCAATGGCATTTTTCACAGAACTAGAACAAATAATCTTAAAATTTGTGTGGAACCACAAAAGACCTCAGATAGCCAGAGCAATCTTGAGAAAGAAGAACAAAGCTGGAGGTAGCATGCTTCTTGATTTCAAACTACTACAAAGTTATAGTATGCAAATCAGTATGGTACTGGCATAAAATCAGAAATATAGATTATTGGAACAAAATAGAGAGCCCAGAAATAAACCCGTGTTTGTCAACTAACCTGTGACACAGAAGGCAAGAATATACAACAGGAAAAAGGCAATCTCTTCAGTGAATGGTTTTGGGAAAACTGAATAGCTACATGCAAAAGAATGAAACTGGACCGCTTTCTTATACCATGTACAAAAATAAAATGGATTAAAGACTTAAATGTTCGATCTGAAACCATAGAACTCCCAGAAGAAAACATAGGCAGTAAACTTTTTAACATGGATCTTAGCAATATTTTTTTGGATATGTCTCCTCAGGCAAGGACAACTAGAGCAAAAATAAATGGGACTACATCAAACTAAAAAGCTGTTGCACAGCAAAGGAAACCATCAACAAAAGGAAAAGGTAACCTACTGAGTGGGAGAAGATATTTGCAAATAATATATCTGATAAGGGGTTAATATCTAAACTGTATAAAGAGCTCATATAACTCAATATAAAAAAAAAAACCCAAACAACCCAATTAAGAAATGGGCAGAGGATCTGAATAGACTTTTCTGAAGAAGATATACAGATGACCAACAGGCACATGAAAAGATGTTTAACATCACTAATTATTAGGGAAATGCAAATCAAAACCACAGTAAGATATCACCTCACATCTGTCAGAATGTCTATTATCAAAAAAGACAGGAAATAACAAGTGTTGGAGAGAATGTAGAGAAAAGGGAACCCTTGTGGACTCATGGTGGGATTGTAAACTGGTACAGCCACTATAGAAAACAATATGGAGGTTCCTCAAAAAATTAAAAATAGAACTACCATATGATCTAGCATTTCCATTCCTGAGTATATATCCGAAGAAAATGAAAACACTAACTCGAAAAGATATATACACCTTTATGTGCGTTGTAGCATTATTTACAGTAGCCAAGATATGGAAGCAACCTAAGTGTCCATTGATAGATGACTGGATAAAGAAATTGTGGCGTATATCTATATATATAGATACAGATATACAGACACAAGGGAATATTATTCAGCCATACAAAGAATGAAATCTTGCAATTTGTGACAACATGGATGGACCTAGAGAATATTATGCTATGCGAAATAAGTCAGACTGAGAAAGACATACCATATGATTTCACTTATGTGTGGAATCTAAAAAAACAAACAAATGAATAAACAAAACAAAACAGAAACAGATTCATAGATACAGAGAACAAACTGATGGTTTCCAGAGAGGAGGGAGGTGGGAGGATGGCCGAGGGAGAGGGAGGTGAGAGGTGAAGGGGAGTATAAGGAACAAACTTTCAGTCATAAAAGAAATTAGTCATGGGGATGTAATGTATAGTATAGGGAATATAGTCAATAATATTGTAATAACTTTGAATGGTGAGAGATGCTAACTAGACATATCATGATGATCATTTCGTAATGTATAAAGTATCAGATCACTATGTTGTATACCTGAAATGAATGTATTGTGTGTCAACTATACTTCAATGAAAAAGAGAGATTATAAGGAAAATGGATAGTTCAAAGGTATATTTTGGTCATAAACTTAATAGGGCTCTGATGGATTAGATATGAGTTTGAAGGAAATGGAAGAATCAAGAATAACATACAAGCAATTGTTGGCCCCATATATTGGGTGGAGAAAACATGGCAGCATGTAAGGGCTTGGAGTGCAAAGGAGAGGTCTGGAATATAGGTAAACCATTTGGAGTTATCATCATTTAAAGATAAAGAAACTGATGAGATCACACATGTAGGAAGAGATGTCAGGAGAGGGGAGGACTCAGGACTGAGTGATGTAGGGCCCCCAGTATTCTTAGTAGAATTGAGGAGGAGGAGCGACTAGAGGAGAGGTAGGAGAAAGGACACGTGAGAAAGAAAGAAGACTGGCAGTATGTGGTGTCAGTGAAGCCAGGAGTAGCCAGTGCTACTGCAAGGGCAAGTTACTGGAGGACAAGTAGTGTCCAGTACGTTGGACAACGTGGATTTCACTGGTGACCTTAATAAGAGCATTTTTGGGAGGATGGCAAGAACCATATAGGAATCAGTGAAAACAAAGAAGAGAGAATTGCTGCTTTTATGGCTTACAAAACTTTTTCGTAACTGCTCACTGGTTAATTATTTAAGCTCTGATTAACGATGTCTATTTTGGTTTTAGGGAAGATATCAACCCTACACTGCAAAGCAGACAGTATTAGGCAACAGTGTGTAACATTTCTTCATTATATTAAAGTTTTCATCTTCAGGTAGGATGTCAGATGAATATTTTGATTACCGCATGAATTTCTGAGTGCATATTCATCCAGACTTTGGTTGTTTATTGTATCTAATCATTTTTTAGGTACCTGAAAGTACGGAATGCTGAGAGTCATGTTCCTGTCCATCCCTACGAGGCTTTGGAGGCTCAACTTCCCTCTGTGTTGGTTGACGAGCTTCAAGGATTACTCTTGTATATTGGACATCTATGTGAACTTCCCAGTATTAATCCAGGAGTATTTGTAAATCAAAACCAGATTAAGGTTTGACTTGTTTCATTCAATTTTTAAATTATCAGTTTTTTCTCCCCATACAGAATATTTATTCAAGAACAATGGAAATTAGTCAAGAGTGCTCTGAAACCAGACTGCCTGAGTTGAAATTCTGGCTCCTCTTTTTATTCCTCCTTTGGGCAAGTGGCTCTTGCCTGTCTCCTCATCTGTAAAATTGGTATAGCTTCCTACAGTTATTGGGAGAATTAGTAAATTAAAATGTATAAATGCCTAAACATAGTATATACTGAATCAATGATAGCTATTCTGTATTCCGGTTTTTAACAGTGTAAATGTTTAAAATTTTGAAAACCAATAAAATAACCTTTATTTTCTAAAATTTGTATCTTTGCCATTGATAAAGGTTTGGGCAAACCCTAGCTTATATTATGGTAAGATTCAAGAAGATCACTTATAAAGTTACTCTTCCAAAACCGCATCATTATATCTGTTCTGACTTGAGAACTTTTCAGAATGTGATAAGATTGACTATGCCCTTTTTTTCAACCTGTGATAATCGTTCCCTCTGAAATTTGGTTTTTAAAAATTCATATTGGAGGCCAGCCCTGTTGCTGAGTGGTTAAAGTTCTGTGCGCTCTGCTTCGGTGGCCTGGGTTCACAGGTTCGGATCCTGGGTGTGGACCTACTCCACTCAGCCATGCTGTGGAGGCATCCCACATACAAGTAGAGGAAGATTGGTGCAGGTGTTAGCTCAGGGCTAATCTTCCTCACAGACACAAAAAAAGAAATTCGTATTGTTAGCATGACCCAGCTTATGGATGTAATTAACAGATTCTTCCTAGGGAAATGTGAGCTTCTGTGAATGACAAGTTATAATTCCTCATTCCCTCAACTCTTAACCTCTTCCATTCTATTTGATTTCACCAAATTGAACAACACTCAGTTTTTACAAACATGTCTTTGCCAAAATATAAGGTACAATTAAATGTTTATGTATTTCTGTGAAATTTAGCAACAAAAATTTACTCTTCTTATCAGGGATCAATATATGTAAAAATAAAATTAAATAGAGTTCCAACTGAATTCATGGGTTAGTGCATCCAATCCATGGAAAACAAATATATATTACTTTTAATCATGTCAGTAAAGATTCATGGGTAGTTTGTAAGGAGAGAGATGTTGTACCAAACGTCTCTATAAATTGGACTGGTTTTTATTTTCTGGATATCCATCAAGTGCTTAAGAAAATAAAAATTAATTTTTCTAGCAGCAGAAATAAAGAATGTGTGCAAGGGTCATTAAGGTAGGTTTTGCCTCTCATAACTTTTTAATTAGGCATACTTGAAAAGATGGTTTATTTGAAGATCAGAAGACTAAATTTTTAAAAGCAGGGGAATGTAGTCTTCAACATGTAAGCAAAAAACATCATACATTAAAATACCATTTTGAAACAACAGCAAAAACATAAAATCAAAAGCATCTTTCAAGACTTCTTGTATTTCTTTCTTTCTTTTTTTTTTATGGTGAAGAAGATTGGCCCCGAACTAACATCTGTTGCCAGTCTTCCTCAGTTTGCTTGAGGAGGGTTGTCCCTGAGGTAACATCTCTGCCACTCTTCCTCTGTTTTGTATGTGGGACACTGCCACAGCATGGGTTGATGAGCTTGTGTAGGTTTGTACCCTGGATCTGAACCAGGGAACCCTGGGCCACCAAAGCAGAGTGCGTGAACTTAACCACTATGCCCCGGGGCTGGCCGCTATATATTTCTATTTTACACATCTTATATATGAAAATTATTGATTTATTTGATATTTTCAGTTGAGCATCTGTCTTTTTATTATTTTTTAGGAATTTTTTTATTAGAGATATTATTTGTTGGGTATTATATGTTGCAAATATTTTCATCCATTTATCTTGTCTTTTTCAGCAGTTAAGCTGACTTGCTAGGTAGATGGTTTAAGATTTTTATATAGTTATTTTGTTAATTTTTTCCTTTGTATCATTCTTCTGCTCTTGTTACAAACATACTTGTTTTTTACATTTATCGTTTTAATTCATCTTCTTTTAAAACATAATACTGTGAAGTGGGCATTCTAACTTTAGTTTCTTGCAAATAAATGAGTTAATAATCCTGTCTTTTGTTGAATGATCGATGCTTTCCCCACTGATTTGAGATATCCAATTTATCCACTTCTCTCTTCCCTATTTTTGCTGTTTATTATCTATTCCTGAGCCAATACTGTTTTATTAGTCTAGCATTTTATTTTATTTACATAGTTGATAAAGCAAGTCCCCTCTCCATCATTCTTCCTAGCTGTCTTAATAGAACACGTGTAACATTGTACTTATTTTTACAGTGATACTAAATGTTGACTAGAAGAAAGTTATTGATAACCTACTTTAGCACAGTACTTAAGAGCATTGGCTTTTGAATCAGATAGAATTAGATTTGAATCCTAATGCGTGACTTGAGAGGTAAATTTCTATATCACTCTTAACTTCAGTTTCTTAATGGGCATGACAGCGATGTTTAATGACAGTCTAAAGTTCTCCTGTTAAAATATTTTGTAGGAGTTCCTGGGTACTCATTACATTTAAAAACGTATTTGCTAGCTGAAGTCTAAAACAAAATCATGAAAATAAGTCGTTTAAAAAAATTCTTTTACTGCCTTGCGTCTGAGGTAGAATCAGAGGTTGGTTGGAAGGGATCTTTACTGTACAAGTCTATTCAGCAGCACGGATGTGGGGTCTGTCTTAAACCATTAGATGAAAATATATCCTGCTTTCAAAAATCTCCAGTGAAAGAATCCTCTAATGAACAAGACAAAGGTTTTCTCTGAGCTTTTGAGTAGTAGTAGGTTAATTGGTTCTTTATCCTTGTGCTTATGGAAGAATGTTGTTACATGCTATAAAGTACCTAGTAAAGTAATATGAATTCTCAGTCACAGTTGATAATGTCATTCACAGCTATTTCCACCATCATGGCATTTATTACATCTCCACTTAGATATCCATTGGCTGGTGCTGGAAATTCTTCACATGCTTGGTGAAAAATTGAGTAAGTTTATGGATTTCTGATTCATGTCTTTTAAATCCAAACTGTTATTGTTTCTTAAAATTACACAATAAATGCTGATTTTTTTTTTTTTTTTTTAAAGCAAGTAGTAACCAAAGTAAGAAGTGAAAGTCTTATTCCTTTTTTCCAAGGATAACTACTGGGAATAGCTTAGTCCATTTATCTTTCCATACTTATTTACTATCAGTATTCATATATAGAAACTCATAAGTAGGATTTCTGTTTTCTTTCTAATGACAAATGGTATCATCATATTATCCTGCGTAGTGTTTCATTTAACAGTTTTTGAGAGATCTGTTCATGTTAGTACATATAGTTCTACTTTATTCATTTAAGAGCTGTATGTTATGGATCTGCCATGGTTTATTTAGCCAAGCCCACTTTTTAATATTTCAGTTATTTCTGGGTTTTTTTAATATTACAAATAATATTTCACTGAACATCCTTGTGTATATATACATCCTTGAATACTTGTACAAGTTATTCAGTAGAATAGGTTCTTAGAATTGGAGTGGCGCAGTGCAGTTTTAATATTATATACACTGCTCTGTCGCTTACAGTAAGTTTCCCCAATTTATATACGCTGTGAGTGTGCCTTTGCCTCAACCTCTTGCCATTAGTGGATATTGTCCATTTTTTTATTCTTTGCCAAATAACGTGAAAAATGATACTGAATCTCTATTTTTGAAATTTCCTGATTTCCAGTGAAGTCGAACATCTTTACCTAATTTCATTGTCTTCTTATATTTGCTTTATTAATTACTTGTTCATTATCTTTTGCAAATTTTCCTGCTTTTATTTAATTAATTAATAGGAATTTATATGTATTATGGCTAGTAATTCCTTATTTCATATTTGCCTATTTATTTCTTGTTCTTCCCTTTGGCATCTTTAGGTTCCATTATCCATTTGGCAATATTCTGTAAATAATATTTAGTTATAAAGTAAATTATTAGTTATTTATCTTATAAAGATACCCATTACCTCAATACCTGTTTTTCAGTGAATTAATAAATACAAAAATACATATTTGTATGTGTTTGTGTACACACATATATATATATACATACACACAAACATACAAAGATGTACACAAATATATAATTTCCTCTCATGTGGACTGTGTTTCAAATATTTCCTTAGAGCAATACTCAGATGGACATACTCTGATATACGTGCAAATTTTGGTATCTGTTACCTTGGTTTGCTCTATTTCGCACCACAAAATAGTTGTACGTGCTTAGTTTATTAGTGTTTATTAAAAGAATAATGTCTTAAAGGCTTTATTGGTTAGAAAGGTTGGTGAAGATTTTCTGGTATTTCCTCGATTTTACTTTTTTCTCTTAATTAACGTTGCGTTGTTACTTTACAAAGATGGCCACGGTAAGAAAAGGGAAATTATTCAATAGTACATGGAAAGGTTGAAAACTTTTTTTAGGTAATGTTTATCCCTGCTCATATAAGAAAGGAGTTGTCCTCAAATTTAACTTTTATTTGCAAAAAATTTACTTTTGACTGTATATGTAACAGTTTTGTTATAAATTAATCTGAAAGTATACAGTCACTTTTTTCTTTCTGAATTAGGAAAATCTACTGTAATTTTAAATAGAATTTATTTTATTATATTTTTAGAACAAGTTGTATACAGTCATCAGTTTGTGAACCTGGCAGGTGACAATTTAACCAATGTCAGCCTATTTGAAGAACATTGTGAAAATCTCCTTTGTGATTTAATAAGCCTGTCACTCAACAGGTATGACAAGGTAATGCCTGAAGTGTTTATTTGTATTTTTGCTACTTAATGGCAGTAGTCAGTCTTTAATACGTGTGGTTTTATCTGTAAGCATTTATTCTAAAGTGGTTTACTTGTTAATTCTCCTAATTTTATATTTACTATTATCTGGGAGTTGAATGGGAAAAGAATTTGCTTTAAACATTTAGAACAGGCTGGAATTAGTGTTTTACAGCTGTTTTTTTTTTAATAGCCTTTCCGTCTTGTCAAAAGTAAATAAATAGAATGTTTATGATAATGAGTGGAAATTTAACTAGGGTTCAAATAGGAGAGGCCAACCCTTTAATAATCTGTTGTATTGTTGTTACATAATAAAATAAATGAGTGCTTAACTGAAGTTAGTTGACAAATTTAAAGGGAGAGTTTGTTTGCTTATTTGCATAAAAGGTGTAGAAGCATGAGGGAAACTGTGTTTTTACTAAATTGTGTTTATTGTTGAGTGTTTAATGCAAACAGTGATTTAAAGGTGCTATATAGTGCACATTCATTTTCATGTAATGGAAATTTGTAGATTATTATCACTTATTTCAGGTTATATTATTAATCTTATAGGAAATAAGAATTTATAATTTTTTAGAATTTAGATTGTGTTTTATGTATTTGTTATCAATATCTTTTAAATCTAGTCTATATGTTTACAATTAACGTAATTAGTGAGTTAACCAGATATTGTGTAGTAATATCTTGACAGTTATCTTTTACTGTGTATTATGTTAGAAATGTTTATATAATATATGTGAAATAATGACTACATTATGAATTTCAGAAGTCTAGCTGTATTTGCAAATATAGTGCATATTCTCTGCCTTTTTTAAGGCCATTAATAGTATATTTGTTACAAAAATGCTTAACCTAAAATTGCTTAGCCTTTATAAATCCATAATAATTATATTTATTCTGACTTATAACAATTTTTAGTCTTGCTTTACAGTGAATCAAAATTTGTTTTCTAACCTTTTTGTTAGAAGTCTTTTCATTGTGGCTGATGGATTAGATCAAGGTTAGGAAACCATGACCCTGAGGCCCAATCTAGCACACTGCCTGTTTTTGCAAATAAAATTTCACTGGGTCATAGCCCTATCCTTTTTTTTCCTATTGTCTACAGCTGGTGTTGCACAACACTAGCAGAGCTGAGTAGTTGTGACAAAGACTATATTGCCAATAGCACCTCAAATATTTACTGTTTAGGCCTTTACAAGAGAAGTTTGCTGACCATTGGACTACATGATTAAAGCAGAGCTTTTTTTTAAAAGTTGAAAATAAAATTCATTCTGTACTTTTGGTTTTAAAATGGGAATTTATTTTAAAGTTCATGAAATGGCGCATTTTTGTAAACAATTTGATTAATTGAGCTAAATTTAAGTCATCTAAATCATTCTTTTACAACATTTGGGGGAAATATGTGGCATGTAACGTTCTGCTCTAAGTAACTCGTTTTGGTTCTTTTCTACAGGTTGGGCCTTCTGAAGCATTAATTCGTCACCATTGCCCGTGTGCATGCATTAAAGAATTGTGGGTTCTACTCATTCATCTTCTAGATCACAGAAGTAAATGGTCTCTCTCAGAAGTAAGTTGTAAAATTGATGTTTTAGTTATTGTTATTAGCTCTTATATTGAATTTACATAGTGGTTTTGGCCAAGAAAAGTCTTACAGAGTTTCTTTCTTTATAGTGAGACAACCACCACCGCCAAACAGAGCATTATTTGAGTACTAAATATTTTTAACCCTGTAACTATATTTTTAACCCTAAATTGTTAATATAAAACATTTAGTAGAAGGGTAAGATTTGGCTCTCTTATTTTCTCAAGTTCTTTTTTTGTTCTATCAAGAATCTTTTAGTCTAAAATATTTAAAATCTTCTAGTAATCCATAAAACATTTTAGTCAGGAAATGTGTCAGATTTAGATTTGGGGAGAAATAAAACATAGATTTCTATTAATCAATTGTACAGTATCTTATTTCAAGGCTCGAGGAAAAAAAGTGCAAAAGGGAAGATGGGAAATTTTCTTTCACCTCATTTTGAGCCAAGTCTTCAGAATGGGGCTCTATTTTATTTCAAATGTTGTGGATTAGTAGAAAAAGAGAAATATCCATAGGCAGCAGTAAGTACAAACAATTCATTGTGAAATGATACTTAAAATGATTGATGTTATATGTGAAAGTACTTTTGACTTTTCATGGGTTTTTGAAATTCCCAATTTTCCACAATTTGGGATTTGGGTGCTGCTATCTAATTTTAATAACAGCTCTGTATTTACAGGTTTACAGTACTATATGTATTTTGAGTTATTATTTTAGTAGTAAATTTACTAAGTATAAATTTAATGTATTTTTACTTACTTTTGAGTAAGAAAATTCTTTTTCTTGGCATTTTGGTTTGTCAGTAGAGTTTAGCTTTCTACAGTGAGATTTAAGTATTACAAAGTCTCAGCAATTTTTTCCCTTTGATTATTTGCCAGATATTTTATTTTATTGACATGGTAAGCATCAGTTTTTCTGTTTTCTGCAAAGCTTATCTTTATTATTTAAGAATTTTATATTTCTTAAGAATTGTTCTTATTTTATAAATTTTAGGTATGAAATTATAAACCGCATATAGTTACTTGTTGATGTTAGTCTTTTTCTAGATTTTAAGCAGAAAAGTAGGCATAATTTAGAATATTCTATTGTAGAAATTTGAAAAGTAATATGTATTGTTTAACCTAAATGATTTGTGTGCTCTTCATTTTATGTATTAATGAGACTTATTTGTCTTAAAATAATGAAAATCTGAGGTCATTTCATTTTTTAAAATACAACTAAAATAACCTATATTATTCACAGATTTTTGAAGCCTATTTTATTTTGAAAGTCAAATTAAAAGTTTCCATTCCTCACAGACAGTTCGACCTTCCTGCTAAAAATTAATCTAATCTAATGATGCTGGCTAGCATATGATAAGCATTATAAATGTCTGGGAGCTTGTAGAAAGTAAGAAGTACTGAGACCAGATACTGAATGTAGGTGGGAACTCAGGTCAGCTGGAGATTGAAGCTGTCTCATAACTTTAGAGCAGGTGCTGAACTGTGTGAACTTGAGCATTAGCTTTTATACAGTATAAGGTGCAAGAATAGAAGACAGAGCTCAGAGTTAAACCAAATTGGTAGCCTTCTAATATGCCAACTGCCCATAAATCTGAGCCCCCAAAAGGATGAACTAGAAATTCAATTAAATTTGTAATGAAAATTGCCTGTTTTTAACTGTGGCACTTTGCAGTTTCAAATTGCTTCAGTGTGTTTGTCATTGCAAGCCAGCCCTCATGCAGATTTACAGCCCAAGTTCATGTTGCCTAGATTGTACTAAAAATTTCAAGCCAGTGACTTCTAAGTGGCCACACACAATGAGTGGATGGATGCCTAAACCCACATCTTCCCTCATAACGTACCCTAAAACACAGAACAGCAAGAACAAATAAAACTACACGAAAAACATGTTGGTAGCATAACTGCAAGATAGGAATGTCCAAAGCTGTACATTAAAAGTAAAAGCCATCAAAACTCTACCACAAAACTTGCTAGCAAGGAAGGGCAGTCTGAGAACAACTGTTCGGAAGAGAGAAGAAGGGAACTAGCAGTAGTCATAAAACTGGTCTGAAACCATTGCCAGAATGTGAAAATACTGAAAGAGTTTTCTTGTAGATCAGAGAACTGACTATAGGATAGGAACATAAAAGTGTGTGTGTGACATGAGGGGCAGTCTTGGAAGGGAGAGCTTCTGGAGAATAAAAAGGCAAAAAAGCAGTGGTCTCCCTTGGTGATTGGCTGGTGAAGGGGACAGGAAGTAAAAGCAATAAATGTACGATCCTGTAAAACCAAAGAAAAAAAATCAAAGGACTCACACCCACTCTCCCACCACCACCACCAAAAAAAGAGGAAATCTAGTAAAGAAATGGGATTTTGGTACATTGACAAAAGAGGGTTCCACTGAACTAGGAATCTTTTAAAGTAGTCTAAATTGCAAAATGAAAAGAAGTAAGCTAAACAAGTCTTTATCAAATTACTACAAAAAAACAGAATTGATCTACTTTAGCTGATGATACCCTCTCCCCCAGAAACAGCTATAAAGCAGAAGAAAATTGTAAGGCAACACTCCAAACTGAATTAAATAGACAGGCATTTGGAGGTGTAGAAAGACATCTTGAATAAGATATTCAAATGTTAAAACATATAAACCAAAAAGCTAGGAATGAATGAAAAGAGTAAAGTCAATGCAGGAGAGAAATGGAAGAAAGAATCATTTTAGAATTGACTAAATTACAAGGTGCTTGAGGAGGATAGACTCAAATGAAAATTAACGAGGCATGGAAAAAAGGGCAGGAAAAGAACCAAAGGAATAAAAATGAGATAAAGATAGGAATATAAAGGGTTGGAGAGAAAATGATTGAGATGGAAGATAGACACAGAAGAAATAACCGTATGTCTAAATGGAGTCCCTAAAGAAGAAAACAGAACAATGGGATATAGCTAACATTCAAAACTATTATCCAAGAAAACATTCCTGGAATAAAAGAAGACCTAAATCTAGACATTGAAAGGGTCTACTGGATAACTGGAAAGATTAACTCCAAATAATTCGTCCTGAGACATATCCTATGAAAACTGACTTCAACCATATGGAAAATGTCTTCAAGTCCTCTGGCAAATCTTCAAATCCTCTAGGCAAAAAGACAAATAACTTACAAGAGCAAAATAATTTGACCTGCACTAGACTTCTCAAAAACATGGAAACAAGGTAACAACGGAGCATTTAAAAAGACTCAAGAAGGCTTCCTCCTGTGAGGACACAGCCAGAAGTCTGAGGTCTGGAGGAGGGCCCTCACCTGGCCGTGCTGGCACCCTAAGCTCAGACTTCCAGCCTCCAGAACTGAATGAATTAACAACATGGCACAACAGAACAAGCCCTCAGCTTAGAGAAAAGCAATTTAGGTCCTACCTTTTACTCTCTAGAGATTATATACACTTAACTCTGAGATACTCCTTTGTTAGAAAGCTGAAGACCAAGGTAAAGCAACCAAACCAAAAGGAAACAGCAGCAGAAAATTCCTTCTAAAACAACAGAGAAACAAGTTAAAAATTACTCTTGGCACTATCTGACATACAGTGGCTTCAGGGACCAAGATGGATGTGGATAAGCTGAGAAGGAAAAACAGAAAAGCAATTGAAAGTTTCAGGAGGAACAAGAAAGCTTCTCTGTTTTCATCCACCTGGGAGTTCATGGTATCACAGAAGATGTGATCATTTCCCGGGTGCTGACAGTAGGTAAGGCCCATATGGGGCCTGCTCTTAGGAGCTGTCCAGACTGCTAAAAGCAGAGATTTCTTTTTCTACCTTGTACAGGATTTTAAGTTAGTAGAGGGGAAAAAAATGAAATAAATATTCAATCCAAAAGAAGGCAAGAAGGAGATGTTAGTGGAAAAAATAGAAGTACAAACAGAAATGCGGAATAAGACGGTATATTTAAAACTAATTATATGAGTCATTGCATTAACTGCAAAATGGACTGCTAAATGCTCATTTAAAAGACACTGTCAGAACAGACTGTAAGCTATTTACAAGACATGACTTAAAGCGTGAAAACAGAAAGGTTCAGAACTGATGGAAAGAGATAGAAGAAAGGTAACGTGTTAAACTAATATTAGAGAAAATTAGACTTTAAAACCAAGAAAAGCAGTAAGTCATTTCATATTGATAAAAGGTTCAGTTTACCAGAAAGATAAAACAAATTTAAGTTTTTATGTGGCTAATAACATGGTATTAAATATAGAAAGTAAAAATTGGCAGACCTACAAGGAGAAATACACATGTGCTTAGAAATATTGAAATATATTTTTAAATAACCCATAGGTAAAGAAGATACAGTGGAAATTAGAAAATATTTTGAGGTAAATGATAACTAACATACTACTAGTTAAAGCTGTGGGTCTGTAGCTAAGATGTAATTTGAGGGAAATTTATAACTTTAAATACAGTTGTTACAAGAAAAAAATGTTGAAAATTAATAAGCTCAGAATTCATCACAAGTAGTTAGAAAAAGATTCCTACATAATAAACCCAAAGAAAGCAAAAGTATCAAATAAAACCAACAAATTTATGAACTATAAAACAATAAGGTGATCAAATCAGTGAAAAACATCAAAGCAGTTGAAAGTTGGTTCTTCAAAAAGATTGCTAAAATTTGCTGATCTTTCTTGAGATGATTACAGAGTCAATACTAGAAATAAAAAAGGAACTTGACTTCAGATTTTGCAGATATTAAAAAAAGTTGAATTATTGTCAATAATTTTATGCCTAATAACTTGAATATTTATATGAAATGGACAAATACGTAGAAAAAATATTACTAAAACTCATCAAATGTTCAACAACAGTGAATTACCTTTAGCATATAGACATAAATTGGAATACTCTGATGAACTATGGCTATACTCATTAATGTGGGTGAATAGCAGAAACATAATATTGAGGAAAAGCAAGTTACCAAAGAAAAGAAACAAGCCACTTAAGAATACGAACATGAATCAAAAAAAAAGCAAAGATGAATCCAAACAATACGTGGTTTAGACTTACAGTATATACCTATGTGGCAAAACTTACAAAAACAAGGCAATGATTTATTAGGGAAATCAAGATAATGGGTACCCCTGGATGGGGGAAGAAGATGTGATTGTGGGAACATGTAGGATTTTTCTAAAGTACTAGTTATTTTTTAAGTCTTAACTGGGGTATTTTTATTATTCTTTAAGTTTTGTTTATGTGTTTTGTATTCTCTTTTGTGTATGTATTTATTTCGTTATAAAAATGGAGGGAAAAGCCTAAATCAAAGGGTATTGAATCATGTCTTAATTTAATTGAATCATATTACCTCTGTTTCTATAGTCATTTTGGAACTGGTTGAATAAACTACTTAAAACACTCTTCGAAAAATCAAGTGACCGAAGACGACCTTCTGTGCCTATAATCCAGCCCAGGGATCCATTAGGTTTTAGCTGGTGGATTATTACTCACGTAGCATCATTTTACCAGTTTGATCGCCATGGAGCACCAGATGAAAGGGTAAGATTTTATTTTTTAAACTTTCCTTTGTTATCCATTAATGCATATTTTTTTATAGAAATATTAGAAAGTAAGTGAAAAGAAACAACAGCAAAAATCAGATAATCTGAGATTCAGCTTCTGAATCTAGAACCAGTAGACCTTTCTGTAAATATCTTGAAAAATGATAATATTTATGTTTTTATTGCTTGATTAAGGAAAAGCAACTTGTAGAAGATTTGGGAACTAGTCCTGGCTCTGCTACCAAGTAGTTGTGTCACCTTCGGTAAATTACTTAAACCTTGCTGGGCCTCTGTTCCTTATCCAGAAATCATGGGATTGGATTGTTTGGAAGATTCCTTCCAATTCTGAAATCTGTAAGGTTGCCAAAGGGAAAGCATATTTCTCCAGAAATGCATTAGTAGTTTTTGTGAATAATTTGATAAAATTATTTCTTCAGAATAACACTTTTTTAGAGAAGCTTTTTGCAAACACCTGTCAATCTTTTAAACAACCATGAAGTTTACTTCAAAGAGAACAATAGAAATTTTAACTAATATATTAATTTCTAGTTAGAAACATTTTTTAAAGTGTTATTTAAAAAGCCTAATGAATAAAAGCAGCTAGAAGATGTATTTATTTGAAGCTCTAGTTATATGTAATTTCTTCTGTGTTCAGAAATGAATAGTTTTGTTATCGGCCCATCAGTTCCATAAAATAAACTTCAAAATCTTGAGGCCAATTTCAAAATTGGTCTTCTTTTCTGGGAGTGCTTCCCAAACCTGGCTGAGCATCAGACCTACCTGGGAGTTTTTAAAATTCAGATTTCTAGGTCTCAGCTCTGGAGATTTTGATGGATTAATCTCGTTTGAAGTTTGGGAATCCCTATTTTTAAAAAGTTCCTTGGTTCTCATCCTCTATCGAGGATGGGAACATGCTCCTTGATGGACTTGACAGATTTTCCTCTCTTTGAAATATTGGACAGAGTTGGCTCAGAAATCATCCATGAAATCTGCAGGTCAGTTAGTATTGACGTAGAGTCATAGATATGGAAAGGGTTTCAAGAGGTGCTCTAAATGATCACCTTATTAATAAAAGGCCCTTTAAGAGATCCCAAGATAAATAATAAGTCAGAAAATACTCTGAGAAGTTCACACACAGCTCAGTATCAGTGTTTGTAAGCATTCTGCCAATTTATTCAGAGAGGTCAATAGAATGAGTGTCTCACAGAGAAGGATTGTATGTCCTTTGTTTCTGTGCATGAGTCCTTACCATGCTGATACATAGCAAATAATGTTAGCAGTTGCCATTATTAGAATAGTAGTCATTTTATTGAGTATTTCTGTGGAGTTATTATGGTAATGTTTCACATCTTTTAATTATTAGAATACTAGGACAATACTAAAAGAACACAAAAAATTTACATATAATTCTAAGGTTTTTACAGAAACGTTTTTATTTCTCTTCCCTTCCAACCTTAATTCCTCCAAGTATGTATTTCTGATTTTAATCAGTATAAATAAATATGGTAATTAGTTAAGCACTTCTGAGTTCTTACTGAGTGGCTATCATAATGATAGGTGCTGATAATAGGAGACACATGAAACAGACAGTATTGCCTCTTGCTTGAAGGAACGTGTTTTCAGATTATTAATGCTTGCTGGAACTGCATTAACACTTATTTGAGTGAGTGGTTTATTTTATAGTGGTTGATATTGACCCCCAGATACTGCCAGTGTGGTAGGTAATCTAGCCACATTAATATATGTCGTTACTATTACTCTTGTAATGTTGAATCATACTGGTACAACCACCCACAGTCACACTGCTGAAATCACTCTTCATACCGAGAACTCCATAGGATATTATTGCTTTTATTAGCTCTGAATCAAGATAGTGAATGAATCGTCTGTATTTCAAACAGCTTAACCTATGTCTTTTAATATGTTTCAGCAGTTCCTGTGTGATTTTCTTTTGTCAAAATTTAAAAAAATGTTGATTCTTAAAATTATGTAAAAAGTTATGAGGAAAGGGAGCGATTATATTTGAAAAAGAACCTTTTATATCATAAAAATAATAAATATGTATAATATATATATGTATTGATATATGTAGACTTTGCCTTTATTCAGAAGTCCTCAAAAAGTTCCAAATATGTCTGGACTTCTTAATGACTTTTAAAGTAAAACTCAAGCTCTCTAGTTAGTAATAGTTTTCATTAGGGGTGGTACCTTCAGCATATTGCATTTGCAAACTGTAATATCTCAGAGCGACTATTCTGTTGTTTTTTTTTTTTATTTTTTTTTATTTTTTTATTTTTTTTAAAGATTTTATTTTTTCCTTTTTCTCCCCAAAGCCCCCCGGTACATAGTTGTGTATTCTTCGTTGTGGGTTCCTCTAGTTGTGGCATGTGGGACGCTGCCTCAGCGTGGTCTGACGAGCAGTGCCATGTCCGCGCCCAGGATTCGAACTGACGAAACACTGGGCCGCCTGCAGCGGAGCGCGCGAACTTAACCACTCGGCCACGGGGCCAGCCCCGACTATTCTGTTTTTATCTCAGTGAAGTGTTATATAGTAAGTGAGAGGGTAATATATCCACTTTACAGGTAAAGAACCAGAGGTACACAGTGGTTAAATGTCACCCTATTTTTGTCTCTTTGCTAAACTTGATAGTAGGGTCCTCCTAAGAATTGCCTCTTATGAATAGTTCTTTGGTAGGGTAACCATGTGGGCCAGTGTGCCAGGGAGAGTCCCCATTTTATGCCTATTACCCCCTCACTCCATCTGGTTAGTTTTCCTTTTTACTTTCAAAAGTGTCTCAATTTGGTTACAAATCATATAATCTGTGAACAGAAAGGCATATCGACTCATCCTTTCAGAGAGATTATATAGGATGTTAATTTGGGTTTGGGATATATTTAGATCAGAATTTTGAAAATTACCTGAATTCTTTTTTTCTCCCTGTGATGTATTAGCATAGCCAGCTATCATATAGAAAATGGTTATGCATTAAGCATGCTTTATTCCACTAAAGAGTAATCTGGTGTGAGAGGATGAAATGAAGTAATAATGGTTAATCATATCTTTTGCTGCAGAGAAATACCTCTAGTCTTGTTATAACCATAGTGATGTTTCAGTTTTTAAATGTGAACTGCTTTGCCCTGAAGGTTAATGTCATATCTTTACATTTTAAGTAGGTTTCAGATATGGCTAATTTTTTTTTTTAATTTTAAAAGTTTCTGTAAATTGGACTTTCGCTCTATGTGGATTGAAATCACAAAACTTACCAATTGCTTAATAGCAGCCTATAAGAGAAATTTGGTATCTCACTTCTCATACTAGAGGCTTTAGATTTTCATATATTTCTGTTGAATGCTTTCTCTCAACCTAGATGAGAATGTGACATCCTCTCACAATCCCAGTCATCTGTTTTAAAAGCAAATATAGTTTAAAGAGAAAAATTACTTTTGGACATTGCAGGGATCAGTTGAACAGTGCTTTCCCTACCCAGAACATATTGCAATCAGTCAGGCCAGCTGATGCTCGTCTTTGAAACATCTGAAATGGTGACTAGATAAAAGGTGTGAAATGTAACCTTAAAATGAGAGTTGCACCACATTACCTAGTCTGCTAGACTTGGAGGGTGGGGGATCTATTTTATATTTCTGGTGGAGATACCACCTAGGCTGAAGCTTAAGTGGATGTCTTAGTTTTGATGGTGGAAAAAGAAATATAAAATACAGCCCCGAATTGATGGCTTCCCACCTCCTTTCTATCAGTAGAATTATGTGGAACTTAGTATGTAGAACAAATGCGATAGCTGCTCAAAGGTAAGTGTTCCTGTGGAAGGAAAATCTGTATTCTGTTGATACATATTCTTTTACTCACTCTCGATCTGGGCATGATATAATTGCCGTTCTTTCCTCTCAATTACAGTTTATTTTCATTTAAGATTATAGCCACAATACTGATCCATAGAGTTGCAATTCTTTGGACAAGAGTTACACTACTTCTCGATAATTTGTGGGATTCAAATGCCTCGACAGAATACAACAATTGAAATATACTCATTAACACCATCAAATTATAGAGCTAAATACCTCAACCCTGTCATATTCTTGCTTATTTGGAACTAGAGGTGACATTTTCCTGGTAAAGAGTGTTATAAAAGCAAATTGCTGGAATCTGAGAAAAGACTTGTTAGAAAAAGAAACTCAGTTACTGATAACATGATATAATGGAAGGAACACTGGCTTTTGAGCAAGACCAACTTGGCTTTGAATCCATGCTCTGACTTGTATATACATGACTTAGAATTCTGAGATTTAATTGTGTTATCCGTGAAATGGAAAAGTTTTTTTTGAGGATGTAATAATGTAGAGACCCTAACAGTGTACATATAGTATTGATAGAACAAAATGATCTCCTTTTTGAGAGAGTTTTAGGGCTAACTACCAAGTTTTACGGCACAGTCCTCAAGATTACCCTTGTTTCTGATGTCGGTCACAAGCTCAGTAATTCCAAAAACTATGTAATTTACTTGGACTCACAGAACTCACTGGAAGCTGTTTTACTCATGGTTATGGTTTATTTTACATGGTTATGTAATAAGCTCCATTACATAGGCATGGTGTACTGATTGCCCACATGGTTGATCTCAGTCTCCAGGTCCACTGACACAAGACCCAAAGTCTCCAGCCTAAATCACATTGTGGTTTTTGGGTGTGGCCAATCCTACCCTAATATATGGGTGTGTCCAGCCTCTACCCTCAATTATATTGTTAGATTCTCCAGTAGGATCTGAGGACCCCAGGCAAACAAAGATTTTCCTATCAGGCCTAACATTCCGAAGGCCCAGAGATTACCTTCCAGAAGCCAAGGGTACAGGCCAGATCTCTTTGGGCAAGGCCAAATTCTTTACTACACATTTTTTCCTGAAAAATGTTTTGCATTCACTTTGTTAATGTAAATCTATTTCAAAAAGTCAATAATTCTTTTGCTAAAAATAATGTAGTCATTGTATTAGTTTCTATTGCTGTGTAACAAAATTTGGCAGCTTAAAACAACAAACGTTTATTATCTCACACAGTTCCTGAGGGTTACACATCCAGTAGGAGCTTAGCTGGTTGGTTCTGGCTCAGGATTTCTTGTGAGCTTGTAGTCAAGCTGTTAGCCAGGGCTTCAGTCTCTGAAGACTTGAGTGGGGTTGGAGGATTCACTTCCAGTCTCTCTCAGGTTGGCAAGAGGCTTCAGTTACTCATTACGTGGATCTCTTCAGGCCTGTTCACAGTATGGCTTTTCTCAGAAGGAGTCAACAAGATGGAACTTCAGTGTCTTCTAACCTAATCTTGGAAGTGGCATACTACCACTCCTATTAGTACTGGTATTCTGTTGGTCACAGACCAACCCTAGTACAGTGTGGGACAGGGTTAAATAAGTGTAGGAATACCAGGAGGCAGGGGTCATTGGGGACCATCTTAGAGGCTGGCTACCACAGTCACTAAGCACCTTTATTAAGGAAGTATTTATTTAGTGATTTTGTGTAGTTAGCATCTTACAGGAACATTATCCAACCATTTGAAATCAAGAATATTGAACATGCTTTAACCCTTTATTGGTCATTTGGGGTCATCCTTGTGAATGTTACAACAGGGGTGGTAAGGTATGATGAGACTCTTTGTCTTTATTCTTTAAGCCCTCTGGCTTTGCTTTTTGAGGGCTTAGTGGTTACTTTTTGTACCTTTTTCTTTTCCCCCGTCAGAAACTAGTTGTCACTTGCTTCCTCTTGGAAACACTTTCTTTGCTTCTGATTTTAACCAGTATCCCTGTGTCCAAAACTTTGAGAACTGAGTATCAAGTGAACTGAGTATCCTGTGAGAAGATCCTCCAGGCTTTCCTGTTGGAAAAGTGAAATTGTTTTCACTGCCTAGTCTTTGTGAAATATTTTGGCTTTGTGAAAGTTCTTTTTGGCTTTCTTCCTATCATTCAGATAGTTGAGGTTACCAGATAAGTGACCATTGGCTAAATGAGGTAGCACTGTGCAGTTTTTCTTTATTTTCTGCATTAAATTTTTAGTTACTTGTTTACCAGAGTAGACTTCTTGAGGTTATTATGCATAAAATTAAGGAAAACATCTTTGGTGAGTAAAGTACAGAGTAAAGAATACTCAGGGTATAAAAAACTGTGAAAAATACATGAAGGTTTTTCTTTCTGTTAGGTTATTTCTGACTGCAAAACTTAAATATTTGTTAAAACATTTCTAATTTTATAGAAGTACCACTATTTAATAAAATAACTCCTGATAAGGTTTAGGTTGGATTGGAATAGTTGTAAATTTTTTTCCTACCAACTCAATCAACTGACTGCCAAAGTAATTTTAGACATTGAAGAAATTGTAATGATGTCTGATGATAGAGAAAATGGCTGTACTTCACACTTAAGTTGCTATAGCATAATTTTAATGCATAATTAAGAGCAATAATTTTGATGAAATAACGTTTTTTCTCTTTCTAGAGACAAATGGAATCGAATTGGAACTTTGCAGAAGAACTGCTGAAAAAGTCCATCAGTGTTCAGGTACGCATTTAACGTGAGACGATCTGTGGGCTTTGCTAAATATCTGTGTTAACAGATTTTATTTATAAGAACCAAGCAAACTTAAAATTATTTAAATAACAAACTTAGTTTACTTATTAAAAACCTGAGATAGAATCATCATTCTTTGTTAATCAAGTTCCCGTTAGTGACTATCCTTTGAAGACTTTTATTTTTAAAACTGAGCTGCCAGTTAAAGGACAAAGATAATTGTCCTAGTTGGTGACTTTGACAAAATGTATTCAAAATAAGTAGTAGATGCTTCAGAACTATAAGCCATCCCTTGACTGAATGATATCGAGTCTAGGAGACACGATGAGGGAGATAGTGGCATTGGAAATTCAGCTGTATCCTCATCACAGCGGGAAGGTGACTTGCCTTGCTGAGCAATTTGTCTTACAGGCTTGAATCATACTCTAACTGATAAGGTCCTAGTTTCTCAGCCTTCGTTTCATACCTTATCATTTTTCTTTCCGCAGAGCTGTTAATGTAGTGCTTCATGGCCCAGAGGTCAGATTTGACCTCCTTTTAAAATAGTTTTAAATGTGCATTTCATCACATCTTCAAACATACTATGTTGTAGTTCTGTAAAGTTTGATAATATAAGTTATGTGTGTAAGAGTTTAAGGGGAAATTTTAGTAAAGAATATTTTTTAATTTGAGAAATAGATTACTTTTCCATTGAGAAATAAAGATTGTTAAAAACTTGAAGACGAATAATAAAGAAATATGGTAATACAAGATTGTTCTTTCTCGCTCCCCCATAGATATGTATACATTATATATATAGGGTGTGTATATATGTATGTACCCACATACATACACACACAAACATACATTTATTTTGTAGCCATATCTTTGAAAATCATTTTAACAGCTTGAAATTTTCTTTTTCCTGTTATCTATATTAACTCTTAATTTTCTTAGGTGAAACATATAAGTACATTTAGTTATAATAAGAATCTTCTAATTATGATCTAAGAATTCTAGGTTAGAATGCCAAAGAGCTCTGTGTATTTAAATTGTATCAGAAACAACCATTATTATTATTCCAACCATTGTAAAAGTTTTTGTTATTACTTTTTTCTGTATCATTTTAATTGGCTTTCTCTTTTGTTCTTTTTGAGAACATATTGATTTAGTAACTCAGAAAGTTTCCTATATGTATTTTTAATTCAAGAATGTAGGGAATCACTAAATTGGTCATTGTTATTTACATCAGCTTTTAGTCCAATCTTAATGCCTTAATATAGCTTAAAACCCTCTTAGTGGGGCCAGCCCTGTGGCCAAGTGGTTAAGTTCATGCACTCCACTTCGGTGGCCTGGAGTTTCACTGGTTTGGATCCTGGGCACAGACCTAGCACTGCTCATCAGGCCATGCTGAGGCAGCGTCCCACATAGCAGAGCCAGAAGGACCTACAAGTAGAATATACAGTCATGTATTGGGGGACTTTGGGAGAAGAAACACACAAACAAACAAAAAAGATTGGCAACAGATGTTAGCTCAGTTGCCAATATTTAAGAAAAAGAAACCCAAACTCTTAGTTAAACTTCCTTTCGGCTCTAACAGTATGAGAGTTTATGGTTTTGTTCAGCTAGATTTTAAATTACAGACTATTTCTTGGCAGGCTCTAAAGGTTCATTTTCATAAATACCCATGCACGCATACTGGTCAAGGACACACAGGAGAGAGAATTCATCATCTCTCTCTTCTATAGAAAGTTTTCTTTTTGGCCAAGAGATTGAAAACCCTCTTCAAACACTTTTAGCTGCTTGAAAATGAATACTTTTTTCCCTTTGAATTATGACTCCCTATCATTTTGATTTTAAATGAAGGAGACTCATTTTCATGAAAAAAACTTTTCTTAGTTCAAATGTCTTACTCATAATGTGATAAAACATTTTGACACTGCATGGTATACTTTTACGATATAACTAGTATTTTAATGGTGACAGCTAAAGCTATTTTGAAGAAAAGTAATTCTTGGAAGTAGATAAGGTGACCATCTGGATTTGCCTGGATTCGGGGTTTCCTGGGATGTGGGACTTTGAGTGCTAAAATCAGGAGAGTCCTGAGCAAACTGGGACAGGTCAGTCACCCTAGAAGTAGGGATAGTAGCTGTTAAAAGAAACTTTCTTTGTGAATTTAGGTCTAGCATAAAGTCAAAGTAATACCTTTCCTGTGAGAGAATAGGTCATTGTAATGTATAGAAAGAAGTAGTCCATTCTGTCTAGTAATCTTTCAATTTTGTCATGCCTTGATTGTATCAGAAATTAGATTTTACAAGTAGTATAGGACTACTTGCTGGAGTTCCTGAAACCAATTTTGTGGGTGCAGCAGGTGGTCATAAAGAATAAATAATATGTTTGGATAGAGCTATTAGTTTGATTATATCTGTTTTTCCCCGTTGAGGTAAATTAAAATCTGACCACACTCATGTGCTTTGACTTGATCTCCAGCAGTGAAAGATCCGTTTTCAATATTTAAAAAAACAACATATGTTTCATCTATAGAGCAGTCTTCAAATAAAATTGGTAGGCACTCCACTGTAGTTTTAATTAAGCAAATAATGTTCCAAATCTTTTTCTAGACAGACAGGATTTTCCAGAAACAAACATTGAGCTTTGTTAGTAAAGAGAGCATATATTGTCTAATTTTACTTAACATAGATAAAATTGAGTAGTTAAATATTTGCTTTAAAATCAATTTTTTCAAGATAATCCTATTTGGTATTTTTGAATGCTAATAGTAAACATTTGTTCTACTTTTAAAACATCATTATTGTTTTAATATGATACAGAGATTTTTCAGTTTTGTGCTATGTACTTTTTCTTTTTGAGGAATATTATCCCTGAACTGATGTCTGCTGCCAATCCTCCTCTTTTTGCTGAGGAAGATTGGCCCTGAGCTAACATCCGTGCCCATCTTCCTCTCTTTTATATGTGGGGCTCCTGCCACAGCATGGTTTTGATAAGTAAGCAGTGGGTAGGTCTGCGCCTGGGATCTGAACCAGCAAATCCCGGGCCACTGATGCAGTGCACAGGAACTTAACTGCTGTGCCACTGGGTGGGCCCTTTTATGCTATCTACGTTTTAAAGCTTCATTATTTTCTGAGACCACAGAAACAATTTTCTAATAAAAGTCATGAAAAGGTATAAAAAGATACTCTATGCAAGCCTAATATTTTTTAAATATTATTTTCCTTTGTCAAAAATTTGTCAAGTTTAAGCCTTAAAGCAACTCAGAATGTGATTAGATCTGAATAACCTGGGACAGTAATTTTCTAATTACTAATTCAAAATCATATTTCTTGGGCAGAAGGATCTTGACTTGGATATTGAAATCTAACTCTTTTTATCCAATGGTAAAAATAAATCCATTCAGGCAGACTGACAGTTACTATTTAGCTTGAAAATAAATTTTATTCTTCTCATGCTTTCTGATAGGAAGGGTAGTTATGCATAGAGGAATTAACACTCAATTGTTAAATTGCCATTTCTATAGACTAACTAAGCTAAAAGAGTAAATGTTTTCATTTCTAGTTCAATAAAATAATTTGATTTATGGAATATACCCAAATTTAATATGCCTAAATTTGATTTTTCAAAATAAAGATAGGAGAACAAAATTCTCTTAGAGAGGACTAAAGCAGAGATGAGGAGCAGGCATTATGGAATATTCTAGGGTAGCTTTCTTCAGCAAATGGTTTATACACACTCACACAGCTGAGACGAGACTCCCAGAGAGCCCACAGGGTCTTGTGAAAAATGCAGAAGTTGAGTAGCACCAGCTCTGGGATTAAGCCAGGCAGCTTTAAGGTTGTGTTGAAAAGAGGCCCACAGACCTTCTACTTCATGAAAAAATCTTTAATCAGAGGGCATGGTTTTTGATGTCATTAATCAAACCTCTTGGTTTAGGTAGAGTTTCACCTTAACACTCACAAAATTGAAATATGTCAGCTCAAAGGATGATACTATGAACTTGTTGCATTTATTATTTATCAAGAATCAGCATTTGGCCTAAAGAAGTGCATTTCTCTCTTGCAGATAACAAAATCAGAGCTGTCCCTGTGCAAGCTCTGTACTCAGCACTTAAGGTACATTCTTTCAGTTAATGCTTGTGACCATCTTGTGAAGTTCCATTTTACACATTGAGAAACTGGGGCTCGAGGGCTGCAGGAGCTTGTCAGGTTCACACAGCTAGCTGGGAAGTAGCAGAGCTGGCATTGAAATCTTCATTTATCTTTACTCATTACGTGCTTCCTCAAAACAGTTGATTTTGTAGGATTCTTAATAAAACTTTATTTTTTTCATTATTTCCATTTTTTAAAACTTCTTTGCTGCTATGTGTTTGATTAGTAATCTGTTTTGGTTTCTAGATCTGTTATGTTCAGTCTTATGGAAAGCATCTCAATTTTCCATGCTTCCTGATTTTCGGTTTTTGGTTTTTTCCCCGCTAGTAAGTGTATGATGGGGAAAAATGTAAGGTAGGAAAAATTAATATACTCAAGTATTCTCAGATATTCCTCCTCACATTAGTTCAGCTTGATTGTTTTCATTATGAACTGTACCTAAGATGTCTTTTGCCTCCTCTGCTCCTGACTATTATATTCTTATCTCTTTGGCTATCTGGCTTTGAAGATGGGCAAATCTTTTCTCTCCTTCATTCAACTGATGTGCACACACATTTTTTTGTGTGTGTAAGGAAGATTTGCCTTGAGCTAACATACGTTGCCAATTCTCCTCTTTTCTGGCTGGAGGAATATTAGCCCTGAGCTCACATCTGTGCCAATCTTCTACTTTGTATGTGGGTCACCACCACAGCATGGCTGATGAGTGGAGTAGATCCATATCCAGGATCCAAACCCAGGCTGCTGAAGTGGAGTGTGTAGAACTTCAACCACTCACCCACACATGTTGTCTTTTCTTTCTCTTTTTTTTTTTTTTGAGAAAGATTAGCCCTCAGCTAACATCTGTGCCCATCTTTCTCTGTTTTATGTGTGGTACGCCTGGCACAGCTTGGCTTGACAAGCTGTCCGTGCCCTGGATCCAAACCAGTGAACTCTGGGCCACCAAAGTGGAGTGTGCGAACTTAACTGCTACACCTCTAGGCTGGCCCCTCCCACACACATTTTTTTAAAGGGAATTTTTAAGAAAAACTAAGGGAAAATGGTTCAAAACAAAGCAATGGTTAAATATATAGAACATGAAAATATATTTTATAACAAATACTATGTGTCATTTATTATAGGCTAAAAAAAACTTACTCTTAAAGTCACACTCAACTGACTGATTACCTATCCTGCCAAAACTGTGGAGAAAATGGTATTTTCTAAGCCATTTCTTTTCGTTTTAATCTGCAGCCACTAGCAGGAAAATGAAGGGAAATTTATCTCCTTTCCTTTAACAAAAGAAAAGAAAAAATCCCCCAGGATGCTGTATTTAATTTCTTCTTGATTGGGTATAGTGGAAAGAGCATGGGCTCTGGCCTCACAAACTTTAATTCAAATCTTGGTGTGGTCAGTAAGAGCAATCTTGATCAAATCTGATGTCCCTTAAATGTTCATTCTTTTCCCTCCTGTTTTTGGAAGGTCACATAGAATGGTATGTACACCAGGCTTTGGAGTCATAAATCCTAGCTCTTTCCCAAGTGGACTTGGATAAACTATTTGTAACTTCTGAACCTGAGCCTTCTTTTCTGTAAAATGAAGGTAATAAAACTGGGATGGTATGAGACATACGTGAAACGTCACATAATGCCTGATACATAGTCCGTATTTAACCTGTTGTTTTGCCCAAACTTCATGTTTTTACAAGTTAAGTACCTTTTTGTGAATTATACATGTAAAATGAGTTTCAGATACCAAATAAAAGTAAAACTCTTCAAAATGAACCCAGTTTTTTCGTATACCCACTTTTTAACCTTGTAAGATAATAAAATTAGTTTGCTTTAATTCCTATCAGTACTATGCCATTGGAATGAGCCTAGGCCTAGTTTAATATTTTCATAATAAAATCAGAGAATGTTAGTGATGGACAGAACCTTTTCTCTTTGGTTAAATGAGTTTTATTGTCTGTGAGACAAGCTAAATGTCTTTCCCTAAGCCATACAGCTACTTGATGAAAAGAAGCACCAGAACTCAGAGCTCAGGTTTGTTCATGAAATGTTTATGTAGGCTCTTTGGTGAAGCAGGTACTATGCTAGGCCCTGGGGACATTATCCCAGCCCTGAGAGAACTCATAGTCACTTGAAGGCAGATAAACAATGTATTTGTTTAACAAGGTAAGTGCTATGGAGTGTTAAGAAAGGTTATTGTTTAGTGTGGAATTTAGGAAGTTTCTTAGAGGACTTGAAGCTTCATTGTGTTCTAAAAGATGAATGCTTAAAAGAATTGAGACCTTGTCAAAAAAAACTGCTCATGTTTGGTTCACTCTCATTCAATCCAAGATTGAACACCAAGATCACTGTTTTCTTATACACCTTTATATTACTTTTGTTAGTGACGCCAACATTATTGTGTATAATCTACCTGTTTTCTAAGTTTCTTAATATGCTCACTTCTAATTAGATTTTGTTACTTACCTTACCCCCCTTCTCCTGTTGCCATGCTCTACATTTTTTCCTTCTTTTTATTTTTATTCTGCCCATCACCTTTTCATTTTTGTCTTCTTCCATGTCTGCACTTTCCTCCTTAAACAATTTAGGTTACAACTGCTTATTATAGTCACTCCATCACAAACACCTTTAATTCCTTAGTCCTTACCTGTTTTAAACTTGGCAAAATCTACTCCTCTCCTACCCCCAGATGCCCCACACCCCTCGTCCCAGCTGAATATTGCTGGAGAAAATCATACAATCATTCTTACCAACTGCTCTAACTTTAATTCTTGATCAGAATCTCAAATGGCAGTCAGCACTAGAATGTTTGCTTTCCTACTCTCCAGAATGACTTATTTCATGGTTTCCTTTATCACATACTCTGCCCCAATCAACTTGGCTAAGCCTCTTACCTCATAAATCACTGAGGAAATAGAACCAGTCAGTTGAGACTTTGCATCTTTGGTGTCTTTGCACCTTCAGATTTCCCTACATGTCTGCTTTGTACTCACTCTCTCAGTCTGCTTTTCTGTTATATTGGAGGTGACCCTGTTTCTATCAAAGGCTGATTCCTTTCCCTGTGCACTGGATCTTGTCTCTTTTGATATGTTTAAGGACTTTATATATCTTCACTTCAATATCTCTACTTCCTCACCTATTATCTCTTCAGCCTGCCAGCTAATCTTCTGTCTCTGCCTTGTTGAGGCCATGAGTGACTTCTATATATTGTCAAATCTAAGGGTTCATCTTTCTTCTCATTTTAATCCTTCAGTATCAGTCAACCCTTTTGACCCCTGTCCCTGTCTGAACATTTCTCTTGGCTTCCATGGTGCCTTTCTTTCCTCCCTACTTCATGGTTACTGGTGTTTGCTTGTAGACTTCTCTCCTTTTGCTTGGTGTCTAAATGTTGGAATATTAAAGGGCTCTCAGTTCTGGATTCTTTTCTTTCTTCCATCTTTAATCTTTCCTTGGTTGATTTTATCTAACCTCTTGGCTCTAAAAACCACAATATGAAAGTAACATTCAAGTTTATATCAACGGCTTTGACTTTTCCCTTGAGCCTTAGATCCATATGTCAAATGGTTTACTTAATAACTCCACTTGGTTGCCCTGTGCACTCTTTCATCTGTTCTTCCCCTAGTTTTTGCTGTTTCAACCCATTTTCTTAAGGCAAAATCTAGGAGTTCTCTTTATTGTTGTCTTTCCTTCATACCTTAATATAAGTCATCAACAAATTCCATTGCCTCTGTTACCAAACATTATCTCTAAAGTTGTCTGCTTATCCCAGTCTTGCAGTTTCACAGGATTGCTTCCTAACCTTTTGAGGTGGAAGGAGAAGGAAATGGAAAGGAAAAAAGTAGACACTTTAATCTAATCTTCTGTGTTAAAATAACCATCCATGTTTGTTAAAAAGTGACACACCACTGACTCCCAGTCATTTGTTATTTATGTAAAGCTTACTATATACCACACACCTTCATACCTCCTGACACGTCTGCTTTCTACTTGACCTCTCAATCTCCTTTTCTGTTATGTTGGAAGTGTTACAGTTTACCTCTAACTGGTCTTCCTGCTTCTATTCCTGTCCCCTGTCTTTATTCTCCATGCATGATCCAGAGCGATATTTTTTGAAACAGTCACAGCACATCACTCCTATGCTTACAATCCTCTAGTGGCTTCTCAACATATTTAAAATCTGTACATCTCACCAAGACCTATAAAGCCTTAAATGCGATGTGGTCCCTCACTGTCTCTGACTTAATCCTACAATACCAAATTTACTAATTCAGGTGCTTTCCCTGCCATGAATGCTTTTCTTTCAGGTCTTTAAGTGGTTGGCTCTTTTTCATTCAATCATTTAGCCAAATGGGACCCTCAAAAAGGTCTTTCTATTCGTAACTCCTGATATAATAATGATCCACATCGTCTACCAGTTACTCTGCCACATTGCCCTGCTTTGTTTTGTTTTTCACAGTAGTAATAACTGTTTAAATTTATCCTGTTTTTGGTGCCCTCCTTTCCTTTTCTCCCTGAAAATGTAAGTTCTGTTAGTGTATTCATTGCTCTATGCCTAGTACCTCAGAATAGTGCCTAATATGTAGAAAGCTTTAAATAAATAATTGTTGAATGATTGGAATTCAGTGGTATGTCATGTCACTTTTTAGGAAACATGCATGGTTATTTCATCATAGAACATTACATTAAATTAAAGTGTCTACTTTTTTTTCTACTTCTTTCTCCTGCCGCCACTTCCAAAAAAGCTTAAAGTATCTGTAGTCTGCCAATCCCCTGGTTTTTAAAAGAGCAGCTCCGATAATCCCATGAAGAATTTGACCTAGAACTTAAGTGTTACCAAGTACTCTGGAGTTGTGTGCATCCTAATTATTAGATCATTTTTGCTACTTCTTTCTAGTTTGGGTTTCTTTTCCAGTCTCTGGGTTTCTACACTGTTCAATTGTAAAACACCTATTTTAATTTTTAAATACTTGAGTTAAAAGTTAAATTGAGCCATGTAATTTTCATTATCTGAATATATTAATGATCTCTAAAGCAAATTTTTAGAAGTATATCTTATCCTGACATAGACTGTCTGGTCTGAAGATGAGAATGGGTATGATTTGATGGTAAATATACATATTCTTTTTGGAAGATTATTTGGTGCACTGTCAAGTGATAATATTCATGTCGCCAGAGCCCATTCACTTCCTCATGATTTCACTTCATGTTTTAGGATGGTATACTAGAAGAGCAATTACGAATGTGTCTTCACTGTTGTTTGACACTTTGTGATTTCTGGGAGCCAAACATTACAATCGTCACTGTTCTCTGGGAATATTATAGTAAGAACCTGGTGAGTAAATAGCATGTGAATTTGTTCTAGGAATCTGAAGAATTTGTACATGATATTTGAGGAATGTTTTTATTGCTTAATTATGAATAATTTTGGATTTTCCTAAAATAGTTAATTTTGTAAAGTAGATTAGAATATCTCAAGAATAGTTTGATCTTTCACAAACATAGTCTGTATAGCATTGACATAGGGAATAGAGCATTTGGTGTCACTTTTCTCTTAAGAGTGAGAGTAAGCAGAGTAGCCAAATTGTACCAGAAGGATATTTTTAAAAGTCCTCATTTATAAATGTTTTCTAACAATTATTGATTGCTTGTAACACATTGAGCAATTAATACTATCCTGAATAAGACACAGTCTTATTACAGGCTGAGTGGCCAGATATGCTTATCTTGTGGAAAAAATGTTATAATACTGCAGAATGTCAGAGGAGGGAGTATAATCCAGTTTATGGACTTGTGGAAGACTTTATGAGGTCATAATTTTTTAACTTGACCAGGGGAGTGAGTGGAATTTTCCAAGTAGAGAGAAGAAGAGCATCTAAGCAAAAAGAACATTATGGACAGATGTGTGGAGACATCTATTCCTACCATGTTAAATAGTTCTGAATGATAGGTCTGAGATGACTGTGGAGAAAGACAGGAGATAAGGCAAATAGAGAAGGTATTCTGGGGCCAGATCATCAAGGGCTGAATAAAATAGGCCATTGAGTTATGATTTATTCAGGAGACGTTGGAAAGCTGGGATGTAACTTATTAGGTATGCGTTTGAGAAAGTTTTTTCTGAAAGTGATGTAAATGAATTGGGTACAGATGAGTTAGTAGTCCAATGTAGTAGAATAAATAGATAATCTGGTGAGTGAGAACTAAATTGGGGACAGTGGATTTAGAAAAGAGAGGATAAATTTGGAAGATAAAAATTTTAAAGGTGGATTTAAATAATTTAGTTCCCCATTGTGTGGAGAGAAGATTTGGAACTTTTGGGTTCTGGGTAAATAGTGAAGCCCTCAATCAAGATAAGAAAATGAAATGAAAGATTTACAAGTAAATTACGAGTTTAAGTTTGTATGTAATGGAGCTTATTAAAAATGAGAAAGATGCCTTTCTCTGAAGCATAATGTCAGGCTGATTGGAAAAATGACTGATGCTAGTTCTGAGGCAGAATGTGTACAACATGAGTCTAGAGTATCTTGTCATACCTGAAAAGAGGTAAGATGTCAAAGTAAGCTAGACTCATGTCAAAAGGACACAGGACCCAACTTGAAGGAGGTCCCATTGCCCAATGCTGGATAAATTTGAGCATAAGAAAGAATAATGACTACTGTGGATTAAACATTCAAATATGTTTAAATCCTTGTGTTTATGATACTTTTAGAAATGTTTTTCTGAAGCAAACCCTCATTATTCTGAAAACTCTAGATAAAGGAAAATATAAACTATATTTTAGAGTAACCAAATTTCCAATGAAGTAATTCGGAAGAAATGATAGCATTAGAAAAATCAGTATTTTGTACATCTGATGAAATAAGCCTTCTGGGCAATGATCATCATTGGCTGGTAAAACTGTTAAATAAAGGGCTGGTGAGGATCGTTAAAATGGATAGATCAAGCTGACAACATGATGAATCTTAACATCACAAAAAGAATGACAATTGGAACTTAGTGCCTCCTTGCTAATTGCGATAGGAAGTACGCAGTACTGCCAATGAAAGATTCTCACCAAAAAACTCGATCTGAATGTGATCAGTCCTCTAGATACAGCCACCAATTTACAGAAGTGATAAAAGAATACACTAAGTGACACTAGGGAGATACAAGCAGCTAAATCCAGAATGTAGGAAATTCTACAATAAGTGACCTGATATAAAAATAAATGATATGACAAAAACGTTGAGAAACTTATAGAATAAAAGAGCTTTAAGAGACAGCTCGACCCAATGCAATATGTGGACTTGGTTTGTATCCTAATTTGGACAAATCAACTGTTAAAAAGACATTTTGGGGATAATCCAGGAATCTGAACATCCCTTGAAATTGTGTGCTTTTATGGAATTCGTGTTTTGCGGGGATTTGTGGTAATAGCTATGTAATTTCTGTGATTCAGGTGAGTCAAACTTTTAATGAGCTCATTGGGATTTGCAGCTTTCCATTTTTGTTTACTCAAAGACCTAATACTTGTTTTCTGTCTTTCTTTGCTTTTAGAATAGTTCTTTCAGTATATCTTGGCTTCCTTTGAAAGGCCTTGTAAATATTGTTAAGTCATCCTTGTCTATGCTAGAAATGGTGAAGACCTGCTGTTGTGATAAACAAGATCATGACCTGTATAAGTCCAACAGTAGTTACACCATTTTCCTTTGCATTTTGGCAAAAGTTGTTAAGAAAGCAATGAAGAACAATGGCCCTCATCCTTGGAAACAAGTCAAAGGAAGGTGTGTGCCTTATCTTTCTTTGTCAAGAATGTTCACTGATATCTTTGGAGTAGTATTTTTTAAGTTAACTTGTGCTTGGAGGTCTTTATGGTTTACACATTTAAAATATATTCCTTAATGTAACAGCAAAATGTGGAGTTTTTGGATCCTGCCAGTTTCTTATAGTAAAGAACAACCTAATATCCATAATTTGTTGAGGATTTTAGTTTTTTATCTATCTCATCAGTGTGGAAGATTGAACTTTCATATATTAAATGCCAGGGATATTAGAGAACTGTTGTTTTTCTTGCCAAAATTAATTGTAATGTTATTATGTAATTCTTGGCATATGTTTTATTAAAAATTATAGAAATAAAAAACATCTCCAAATCGTACGTTAGCGGGTAATAGATTCACCCTAAAAACTTTGTGTTCTTTGAGCCCAGTAGTCCCACAAGCTCTGCTTCCTTGAATGACAACTAACAGTAGAACCAAGTAACACTAATGTTCTCATTTGGGGAGTATGCTCAGTTTTCATTTCTGGTGTGGTACCGTGAACTTTTGGTCACGTTCGTCTGTTCTCTTTTTCTAAAAGTTTTGCTTAGGAAGCAGGTATAATTTTTAATTGTCTTCCCTTGTTCTGCATCCTTTGCCAATTAAATCCCTTTTCCTAGGCGTCTTTGTGCAGGACACTGTCGTCTACCAGTTGCTCAGTTTATGTGGTGGGAGCTCTCACAGCAGAATACTTCTTATTCTAGGTCTGGACTTCTCAAGAATCACCAAATGAAATTCCTATTTGAGTCCCACAAATTATAATTCTTGTAAGGCTATGATATTAGCATGGATTTTTTTATTTAGAATATTCTTTTTTTTAATGGTGGCTTTTTTGTTAAACCTCCAGTAATTAGGTGGCTCAAACAGTAGTTTTTTCTTTTGTTCTGTTTACCGGTTTATTTTTGAATCTTAATTCATTTTATGGAAGACATAATACTCAGAACTTTATTGCTAGAAGAAATCATTGGAATTCATTCAATAACAAGTCTAGATACTATATCCAAGCACTATAGTGGACATGATGGGGGATATAAAAATAATTAAGCAGATCTTTATTTTCAGGAGCTTATCAGCTCTATTAGTTCTTTATAAATAAACATTTAACCTGTCATGAACATTAATCATTTCTATCTTGAATAAACCAATTATAGTTACCAAATTTAACAATCTGTAAGTAGGATTCAAGATGAATGGTTTTCAATTCTAATCTCTTAAATAGTACATCAACTATTAAATTATATTAAGTAGTATTGAGATTTTTTAAATGGCTAGTCTTGGACATTTGAACGCTAACAATTTTTCTTTGTCAGTAGGTAGAAATAATTTTTCCAGCGCCTTGAATTGTCTTAGGGTGTAGCAAGAGCAAGTCCTTTTGAGTGGCAGAGGAGAAAGAGTTTAAGGAAAATTATTATATAAAATTGCCCTGTTGAGATTTTTGTAAAGCTCATCAAACTGTACTTAAAAGATTTCATAGTCTTTCTGACCTGTCAATAAAAATTAGGGTGATGGGGGGACCAAAATAATAGGAAAAACCGTGTACTGTATGAAAAGAACATTTCTCCTGTCCTTTGGGGAAAGCCACTGAATTCTTTGATTCACTTATAGACGATTTGCTGCATGACTGAGAATTATGAAGGTAGGGGTATTCTGTGAGTTTGTTTTCTAAGTAGAAAAAGTGATATGGTAGGACCAGAATGAGGAAGTAGCTAAAAATTTCAAGTACTGAGACTGTCGTAATCATTGAGTGAAATGTTATTTTGAAAGATGGATTTTTGTGAGTGAAACAGTTTTATTCAAGCAAGTTTTTGTGTTTTACAGAATATATTCTAAATTCCATCAAAAAAGAATGGAAGAACTAACTGAAGTTGGTCTGCAGAACTTTTTCAGTCTTTTTTTACTGTTAGCAGCTGTTGCAGAGATAGAAGATGTAGCAAGTCATGTTTTAGGCCTTCTGAATTTCCTCAAGCCCACCTTTATAACGTCTTCTCTCATTTGGAAGGGTCAGATGGCCTTCCTCTTGATGTATACCCAGAAAAATCTGGACATTAGTGTTTTGGCTGAGAAATTTTCAAGTGCTTTCCGGGAGAAAGCAAAGGAGTTCTTGGTATCTAAGAATGATGACATGGGACAAAGACAGACTCTCTGGACACTTCTTTCTATCTATATGGATGGTGTTCAAGAAGTGTTTGAGACTAGCCATTGCTTGCATCCTTCCCATGAAAAACTGCTGAATGATGGATTTAGTATGCTTCTGCGAGGTTGTCAAGAATCTGAACTTAGGACAGTATTGAGCTTTCTACAGGCTGTTCTGGCCAGAATCAGGTATGTTTTTCAGTAATCTGCTAATGTATTGATTTGTTTTATATCACCACCTATGTTGATTCTATATTAGTTTTCCTTTTGACATACTCATGAAATCCAAATGTAGAAAGAGTTGGTTTTACTGCTACACTGGCATAAATCAGGAGTTTTCAAACTGTTCTTTCAAGCAGTAGTTCTTCAAAAGAAAGCTTATGTGCAAACACGTAAGCTAAACTCAGAGCAGCTCTGGTGCAGTCCTGGAGCTATGCCTCTTAGCCTCTCCCTCCCTTTCTACCTCTCCTGAAAGAGTATTACTATCCAGAGATATGTTTCAAATGTTCTAAGCAAGACCATGAGCTCAAATCTGAGGTGGCTTTTATTGAAACAGACACAATTTTGTGCCCATAAATAGGTTTCAGCCACACTATACCGTTAAAAAAAAAGTAAGTTTCTTTAAATATTTTGCTGCAGAGTTGTAGCCTCAGCTGCATGAAATACTTCCAGCTAAAACAGTTTATTCTGAGATTAAGATAGGATTGTTCTAGGGGCCCACCCAGTGGTGTAGTGGTTAAGTTGGCACGTTCCGCTTTGGCAGCCTGGGGATGACAGGTTCAGATTCTGGGCACAGACCTGGCGCTGCTCGTCAAGCTATGCTGTGGTGGCATCTCACATAAAATAGAGGAAGACTGGCACAGATGTTAGCTCAGGGAGACTCTTCCTCACACACACACAAAAAAAGGCTTGTTCTATTTATAACACCAATCACCTAAACAAAACTTATTCTTTTCAGATTCACTTAAAATATTCAGATATACTCAGACCCAGACAATAATGGATAAGAACAGTGGTTGTCACATTTATTCCCTTTAAGGCCCTTTTCACATAACAGTTTTACCTTTGAAGTGTGTGTTAAGAAGTTAGATACTACCACTCAGTGTAGTTAGTTGCTGTCACCAAAAAATTGTGTAAAAGTTATATATCGAAATATGATTTTATTTGAAACCATGTTTGAAATTAATGAAGAGACTGCTTCCCTCTTCCTAATACATTACAAAAGTAGCATCTGTTTTTCAAAGATACTAAGCTTGATAGAATTACTAAGTTTTGGGAATTTATTCATTACCAATTTTAATTATTGCTAATTTACTTAATTTGCTTTAAGTTAGGCTGTGTGTTCATACTGATTAATCCACAGGTTTTCGCTCCTTGTTAGGTTTTATGTACTTTTTATATTCATTGGCTCTTAGAGTTTAAGTTCTAAAGGTTTAGCTAGAGTTCTTGATCATGTAATCATCCCTTTATCCTCCAATGTAAGCCATATTAAAGCACGAATCTTACAGCTCTCAAATTTTTAAATGGATGGATAGGTGGATAAGTAAATGAATAACCAACTTCATTAGAAGAAGCTTTTGCTAAATCTGGGTCTTATCCACAAACCACATTTGTTTGTTTTTAGTCCAGTAGATTTTATTAGCAGATATGACACTTTTCCAAGTGCCAAGTTCATTTTATTTGTTCACTTTTCAAATAAGTGATAAGTAGTATTTCCTTGTGCTTCCTGGGCAAAATTAGAAATTTCCATATTTCTGGTACCATTTTGAGTTTGTTTATTTATACAGTCATGCACCGCATAGTGATGTTTTGCTCAACAATGGACCGCACATGTGACAGTGGTCTCCTAAGATTAGTATCATATAGCTTAGATGCATAGTAGACTATACCATCTGGGTTTGTGTAAGTGCACTCTGATGTTTGCACAATGACGAAATTGCCTAACGACGCGTTTTTCAGAATGTATCCCTATGGTTAAGGGGTGCATGATTGTATTTGTATTTGTCTCAATATACCAAACAAGAAGGAAGAGGAGGTTGCTGATCTAAACCATCCTGGTGATGAGGAGCTGCAGGCTTCAAAAGGTTTAGGGGACAAAGGAGTAGAAAATGAAGGGAGAGTATGGGCATCTTGAGAAGAGGCAGTTATGGAAACCAAGAGGCAAAATCCATATATCTTTCTGCCTTTTTCCGTTGAGGATGGATAAGCCCCTTTTAATCATCTTAGCAATTGTATTTCTTGTTACATAGGTTTTTTTTTTAAATAAAGATTCATCTCCTACAAATACTGTTAATTTACTTTTTAGTTAGAAGTTTTGGGAATCTTGTTTTGGTATTAAAATTTTCTTTAAATTGCAAATATAATATAGTGTCATGGTAAAAATGGTGAAAAAAAAATGAGATATAAGATGACAAGTAAAAGTTTCTCTTCCTTTCTTACTTAGTGTTTCATTATATGGCTGTACCAAACTTTATTTAACCAATCCCCAAATAATGGAAATTTATATTGTTTGTGATTTTATGTTATTATAAACACAGTTCTATTTAACATTTTTATACGTGCATTCTCTCTCTACTTGTGGAAGTATATCTGGAGATTAATTCCTAAGACTAAATGGGTATATTTGCATTTTAAATGTGGATGGATATTACCAGATTTCCTACAAAAAAACATTCTTACTGGTTTTCAGTCTCCCTAGTAGTGCGTGAGACAGCCTCCTTTCTCGTTTTTGGATTAGCGTAAGGAGTATATTTAGAAAATGTGAATTCTAGGATAAGTAAGCAGAGAATTTTGTTAAAAATGTTAATAGAAACTTGATATTAGAGGAATGAGACTTATTTTGAATGTTGGGGAGGTTTAAAAATGGAAATTCGAAGAAATAAAATAGGAAATTATTTTTTCTTTATTTCATACTGTATTCATTTACTAACTCCTTTTTGTCTTTAACTCCTAACTGAAACTTGTATGGTCATTATTCAGAAGTAGTAACTAGAAACACAAGAATAATTCTTATATTCTTAAAAGATGTAAAGTTTACAAATACTATCTCATTTATTTCTTTACCAACCCTGTCATCCCTGTTTATAGATGAAGCAATGCTAACATGGAGACTTTTTGTGACTGACCTAAAATAATAGTTAAATTTCAGAATCAACTCAAATTCTAATCCACTGTACCACAGCTGCCTTCTTACACCATCTGTACAATAGTTTATAAATAACTAAGCAGAAACTAACTATACCACTACATTTTTATAAATTAGAAGGTAATTAAATGAATGAAATCTGCAAAATGTTTGCAAACCTGAAAGTATTACCACGAGTCATATATACTTCCAAGTGCTTTTACCTTTTATTTTTACTACTAAAGAAAGGGTAATTGCTTATTAAGGACTTTTGATTACTTTGTTTCTATAATTCTGCAAGTTAATATTTTTTTTAATGAGTCAGTTGGAAAAATGAATCACAAAGAGGTCTGGAGACAAGTAAATCACATTTTATTTACAATAATTTATCTTTGATTTATTAGTACCATTTCAACCATCTAAATTTCATTTCTTGTAATAAAACCGAATTTTTGCTCTTTAAATTCAATTTAGGAGAAGTCCTTTAGCATTAAAGCCAAAGCTTTCAGGAACGTTGGAAAAATATTACTTGGAAGTACATTGTAAGCTATAAGGCATCTCTGTTCATGAGCAGGGTCACTATTCAGAAGTACAGAGGTAGGAATCAAGAGGCATAATGAAGACTGTCAATTATATAAGGTGAAAGTAAGTTACATTTATATTAGGAGTTTCTTTTCAGACCTGGTTTGACTTTATAGTTTGCTATCATCTGGAGCAGGAGCAAAGGAGTGTGTTGTTCATCTTCAGGACTAAACTATGAGAAAAGGACACAAATGTTTATGTTGATAACATTTGATTCCTTGTACCAAACGTTTATTTTTGTTTTTGTTTTATATTGTTCGACTGTGATTGAAAACAATTGCTATAAGTGAATATCAAGTGATGTATAACTTCTGTTACCAAAATTATGGAGCAGTTTTAACAGGTAGAAGTATGAGGTCAATGTGTGAATAAGAACAGTGTAGAAATGTGTGGGTCTTTATTAAGGCTGTCATAGTTTAGGCATTGTCATGTTTTAAATTTCTGAAGCTTGCATAGTAACTTGAACACAGTTCTTCGGTGAGACTGATTACAGTATGTAATAAGAGGGACTGTGACTTGGATGGTTTTGTTTTATTCTGTCAATCTTGAGCGCTTCCAAGGCAGATATTGTCAAAACAGACTTGCTTTTAGTTTGGACCGTTTTGGGGAAGGGCCCCAGAGATAATTCAGGACTGTTTACCTTAAAAAGAAAGAAAGAAGGAAGGGAGGCAGGGAGGGGAAACACAAGAAAAAGTCCTTTAGGTATTTGATCATAGAGATGTGTTCCTAATTTCTTAACCCCAAATCTGGAACTTCATTGAAGATCTTTTCATAGCAGTCTTTTAAGTATGCTATAATATTAGTGCTATTAATATTATTAGAAACTTCAAAAACATTTTGGAAAGTTGTTAAAAATTAAAGCCTAGGTGCTTTTTTTTTTCTTTTACGTTAAGAATAGAGCTAAATTCTTTGGGTTTTGGTTTAGATGGGGAAGATAGGTTACATAGATTGATGATATTTATTCCTGGCTGCATCTCTGACAAGGGAAAGAATGAAATACTTTACCATAGCAATCTCTTCTGTTTTCAAATTCAGGTGGGAATAAAGTACCAGTCCTTGCATAAATGTGTGTGTGTTGAACTGGGTAATAGTTTTTATAACTGTATGACAGAGAAATTATAGGTAGGAAGGAACTAAGATCACTGATTAAAGGGAGAAGCAGCTCCCTCTAGGCTGTTAAGAAATAATAACTTCATATGCCACTTTCTGCTAACTGGAGCTGATGGCTCACCAGAGCATTCTTTATTGCTGATTAAGTAACATTATGAAAATACTGACGTGGTTATGTTAACTAAATGCCTCTGTGTTTAAAACTTGGAATGTCAAATAGTTTTAGCAGTCATCTTTAACATTTCACATTACCTTTCTGGAATCATATTTCTAGTTCTCACTTGCTGTTATTCGAGGTTAGTATAAAAATGGCAGTCTTTCATTTGTGGAGTTAGGTGTAGCCAAAAGCTTTTCTTTAATTATATCCATTCAT